GCACCCAGGCACACTCAGGAGAGGATAAGTAGGTGACTTGCTGAGATTCAGCCCACATAACACGAAACACAACCGTTGATTTTCCCGTTCTTTATTTTAGGAGACTAAGAGGCTAACAGGCTATCTCCTCTGAGCCAGACTCATTTCAGGTCCAACGTGGATTCACATCACCAGTCATCCAAAAGATAAGTCAGGGCCAGGGCCTGGAGATGGGAGCAGTGTCTTCCTTCTGCACCGATGGGGATTTTCATCCCCTGATATGTGCAAGATAAGTGCAGGGTTACAACCCACAGAGGGGATGGAAGAGAGGTGCTGGGTTGGGACTCCCCAGGAGGGGTTTTTGAGTCAGTTTTGGAGATGGGGATGTGCAAGGAGTGTCCCCTTAGGCCACCTAAAGGGAAAGTGTCTGTTTTGATCACAGTGCTGAGGTGCTCAGGGCAGAGCAGTTCTGGTGTGTGTCCTGTCACTTGTCTCTGGTGCACTCTGTGTTCTTTGGGTCTCTCGGTCCTTTCTTCTCCTCAAAAGCTCTCTCTGCCTGTCCTGTGTCACGGGTGTCTGCACGTATTTGTCCCACAGCTGCTCTGCCCTGCTGCATAGCCTGTAATAGCACAAGTCCTGGGGACTTGAAATTTGTTATGCAGGGTGTAGTTGGGCTCTGGATTATATGGGGAGATTGACATAACATGTTTGGTGATGCTAAGTTGTCCTGCAGCCGTTTGACACTAGTCCTGACTTCCTTTCAGATGCAGACAGTTCAAATCTGTGGCCAAGGGCCCCAGTCCTGGGTGAGGGTTTTGCCATGAGCAGGTCAGTCATTGTTTGCATTTGCAGGGGCAGCCTCAATGGTGACTGTGTCACAGCAGTGTTCTTTGCCTTTATTTTTAGGAGGTCCAGGCAGACAGCAGCAGTCAAGGCCCAGTGTGCCAGGTGAGCAGCGGACAGAAGCAGTTGGTTTTGCTCAGGTTTCAGTTTCTGGTGCAATTGTAAGCTTTTGTGCTCTAGGGATTCGACTCGGGGTACTCACACCTCCGTCACCGATGGACCGGTGCCGGGAGCGCAGCTTCGCATTTTCCAGCCTTCCTTGCTGAGGTGGTTTTGAGATGGTTTTGAGGAATTTATGCGATTGTTTTCTTTTGTTCGTAGTTGGTGCATGAGAAGGGCCGTGGGGACTTCTTGGTTGTTACGGTTTTTGCTTCAGGTGCTCATGACAAGGGTTTTTTTGGGTTGAGTGTTGTTGGATTTCTTTTTGATCGGTTTACCATGGCTTTTATGGGTCAGAGCAGGGAGTAGAGGGTAGGTTTTGAATTCGGTTGTGGAGGCGTTTATTAGCGCGAGTGCCTTGTGTTTGTTTTGGTTGGTTTGAGGTATTGTCCTGTAGTTAATTAATGAGGTTTTTTAAATATTGATAATTGCATTCTTGTTTATTATGTTATAGGGGTTTTATTCATTTGTCTTATTTAATTGCCGAGAATGTTTTATTGTCCCAGAGAATTTGGGAGATATTGTTTGTGATTACATTTCTCTTTGTTTATTTCTAGGTGGTATTTGTGTTTTGATGGTTTGAGGCATTATGGGTTTATTGAGTTAGGAATAATTATTTTGTTGTTGTTAATATGATTTTTGTAGTTGGATGTATTTGTTGTTTTTTATTAGTTTTATTTTTATAAAATAAATTTTTTGGGAACATGGGCATTTCTATGGTAGATCTTTATAGGTAGTGATTTTATTTGGGTGGTGAGTTTTTCCTTTCTTTGTGGTTTTGATTTTTTTATATTGGTAATTATTTGGTGGGGTTTTTTAGTTAATTTTATAGAGCATTGGGTTCTCTTTATGAGTCAGTGTAGTGGTAGAATTTTGTTTTTTTTAAGAAACTTTCAGGGTCTCTTGTATGGTTTGGAGTATAGTAAGTTAGTTGGTGCTTGTTTTTTTAGTATTTTTTGTGATTTGCTGTGTGGGTTTCTATAGGGTTTTTTTAAATGTTTCGTTTTTGTGACGTGATAAGAGCTGCCAGTGAAAGGAGTGTAGTGCGGTTTTTTTTGCTGGTAGTTGGTTGGCTGGTGGAGCCTTTCGGAATTTTTTGGACGGTATTGGTGGGAATTTGATGCTGCCTGTTTTGGCATTTTATTTTTAGGAATTAGATTATAACTGCAGTGTTTTAACTATAACTCTAATGAAACAAAACAAATGCATAAATATGAAAATGGGAACAAAAAACTTCAATTTGAAATTTAAGTGGAATACATATAAGTAACACATGTAACATAAATAATATTATCCATTAATATTAGATTTTATATTGTTTGATATAGAGTGTTTTATATGTTATATAAACACATATAAATATAGACCATAAATATAAACAAAATATCCATATAGAGATGTATAAATATGTGGATATATAAATATAAATAGAAAAAATACAAAATAATAGGAATCAATATAGTACATAATGAATATTTTACTAAATATGTCTCATTATAACACATTGTCATAAATTTTATATATCGAAATATAGTACTTCAATATATTGTGATAGAATATATAAGTACTTGTAAAAATCAAAAATAGAAATAAAAAAATATTTAAATATGGTTTAAAATAAAGGGGATTTTATTTTCTATTTGGTAGTAGGTAGGGGTTTTATGATAAGAATTATGAATAAAAATAAAATTAGAAATCTTTGTATAGAAATATATCCTAAATACGTTAAGATCTATATAGAAATTTAAAGGTGAGTAAATATAAGTATTAGTAGTATGTACGAAATAGAATTTAAATAAAAAAATATCTATCTTGCTACTGCATTATATATAAAATAATATATTTATAAAGACATCAATGTAAAGTAGAAATGCAAATGTGACTATAATGATGAAAAAATATATAAATATTCAAGTATCATTTATAGAAAGGGCTTTATTTTGTTTTTATTTGGTTAGAGGCAGGGCTTTAATGGAAAAAATATGAATATACATTTTATTTTGATATTGTTCTAAATATGGAAATATATAGTCAATGTATACAGATATATATATATAAATATAAAATAGAAATAAAAATAAGTATTCGGAAGAGATAGAATATAAATAACAGCATACATCAATCTACATTTAAAATGTAAATTTCATTATAAATGCGAAAAATAGAGATAAATTTAAACTGAGTTTAAATAAAGGGTTTTTTAAAAAAGATTTTTACTTGGATAGAGGCAGGGTTTTATTTTAAGCAATATAGACCTTTTAGAAATCTAAATCTAAGTATGGAAATATGTAAGCAATCTATTAAGATATGTATAAAAAATAAAATGTAAT